TGAACCTTGTGCAGTGTGTTTGGCTGCTGATTCTGCAGGGCTAGAAGGGTGGCTATTAAAATAAGGTCCTAGAACTGGGTGCTATTCCCTGCTGCTTCTGAGCTATGCCACCCAAAGTAATTTGGTACAGTTGGTAGTAATATTTTGGCCATAGTTCTGTGTGAGGCAAAGTCAAGGTCTCAAACACACAATATACTTTTCAGTCTCAATCATAAATCAATTGCAAGTATGTCTAGAGCTGTGGTCTCAGGAATAGCTAAAGGATACATATGTAAGGCCATAATTTCAATGAAGTGGCTAGTCTCAGTGAGCTTTGTGCTGGAGACTGGATGTGTGCAAAGTGACATGGTGAAGGCAAGGAATACAGAAATTATTTTTCTGCTGTATTAGAAACTAATTTGGAAGAGTACTAGTTATGCAAATTCCTGCAAGTTCTCTTTTCAAAACAAACAGGACTAGGGGCAAGCAGTTGAATACTACTTTGCTTTGCTCTCCTAACCTCACCTCTATTTCCTCCAGCAGTTGAAACAGAAGTGAAAACAGTAGCACCAGGTGCTGCACCAAACAATACTGCTCCCTCTTCTGGCTCACCAACCTCTCCTACTGCTGAAGTTGCTGCCTCTCTGGATAAAGAAACGACCAATCCCCATGCTATTCCACGGAGGCATGCCCCTATAGAGCAGCTTGCCAGGCAAGGGTCTTTCAGGGGCTTCCCTGCCCTTAGCCAAAAGATGTCTCCTTTTAAACGCCAGTTGTCTTTGCGAATAAATGAGCTGCCTTCAACAGTGCAAAGGAAGACTGATTTCCCCATGAAAAATGCAGGTAAAACCAAATGGTTCTAGCGAAATATTATCTTAAATTGCCTGTTTCTCCTTTCCTTCTCTGTTGCTTCAAATAACTCTTTATTTTCTAGTAAATCCTTCTTCCTGCCTCATGTGGATCTTTTCTTATGAATGCTTTGGGAATAGGCAAGGATTTAAAATGCAATATTCACATGCAGAAGACAAACAGTTCTAGTCCCTATCTGAAATACTGGAGCATGTGTTGAAGCGCTCCAGGAATGGGTGTTGTTGAATTAATAGGTGCTGGCTCTTCCCTCTGAGTCACTGAACCAGTTCCTCCACTTAATGCCAGGGCATCTTGAGAGACAGATCTCTTCAAGGCTTTAACCACCTCTCATGGGATCATGTGATGCTTTTCTACAGTCTGTCCTTCTGCCTGTCTGAATTCTTCTTTTTGGGAGCAATGAAATGGTTTTTCATCTTGCATTAAGGGAAACTTTACTGTTCAGGTGGCACAGTTGGCTGTATCAGTAATGTGTGGTACAGTTTTCACATGATGCTAGTAGGGTTTTCTAAAGTCATCCCAACAAAAACACCTGGGTTGCTCAGTACCCTGCATAATGTTCTTGAATCCCCTTAGCTAGGTTATCCTGCAGGCCAGCTGTACCCTTACTTTGCAACAGAGCTAGTATTAGGGTCCTAAGCTTTAAAAGTAAAAATTACTGTGTGAAAGACAAAATCAACAAAAATAACTAGTCTGACTTCTCTTACAATCCTTATTTGGTGACCTGTGCTTTAAGACCAGCAATGGGTTTTTCAGTTTTACTGGACTAGAGCACTGCTCACTAGTGATGCTCACTGAGCACACTTCCACCTGGGGTTTTCATGAGTCAGAACATTCCTGATGCATGTTCCCGTGCACACTGCTGCCAGTGCTGCTTCCCGTCACACCACATGGGCTGTATTGGAATATCCCTCCAAGAATCAATTTGTGGGCATGACTCCCCTTGGTTTTAGATACGGTGCATGACGTCTTACGGGTTTTGTGCTATTTGTGCTTAATTATGCCTGCTGATGTCAGTACTGTGCAATGAAGTACTGATGATCAGTACTTTTGAAAAGCAGTGCAATTAGTAATAATGACAACATCTGGTAAGTTGACAGTTTTATGCTGATACTTGGTTTAAAATTGGGTGTCCGGTTTATTTGAGTATTCAGCTTTTGCTTTTCATACATCTACCACAGAAGCTAGGGATTTCAGCTGTTACAGAACTGGAGCAATCAACATCCTAACTCTGGCAATAATTTGCTCCCGTGTGTCGCTGTCAGCATGTTTAAACTTCATGTAGTGACCCTGAAAGTGTGTTGTTGGAACACTTAAATCTCTCATAAGTGTTTTCATTTCACAAAATGACAAACCTTAGCGCCAAATCCCTGGTGTGTTTAGCACTTTAATACTGAAAGATTTAGATCTCCACTAAAGCTACAGAAGCCTCTTTTATTTTCTGAAATGAACATCAACACAGAGAAGCAGCAATAACTGACTTTACTCTGGAACCCTGATCTCCTTACCCTCTTGGCTTAGTCACAAAATACACTAACGTCGTCTTCTATTTCAGGTCAGGTCTTCAACACTAATTTTTTTTAAAAAGCTGTCATGTGCATCAGTAGCAGGAAAATTTAGGACATAGGGGAACTAATTTTATTTCAGTTTCAGATAGATATTCTTAAATTGTTTCTGTATCCTTTAAACTTCCAGTTTAATGAATTTTGTTTACATTTTAGTCCCTGAGGTAGAAGGGGAGACAGACAGCATTAGTGCCCTGTGCTCTCAGATCACCAGTGCTTTCAGCGCACCGTCAGAGGATCCTTTCTCTTCAGCCCCCATGACAAAGCCAGTGACAGTAGTCGCACCACAGTCTCCTGCCTTTCAAGGTTTGTGATTGCGTGCTGTGGTCATGCTGGATGAGGCTTGAATGCACACATCGTGTTTCTTTCCAGTAACACACGGTCTTAATTTCTTGTGCAAGTCCTGTTATCAGTATTGTGGGGAAACTCATCCTGCTCTGTTCATCTTGTCTGTTTAGTTTTTCTGTGGTTTTGTTTTTAACAAAAGTTCACGCACCTACCACACGATAGTTACCTGTGAAAGGGACTGAGATAACAGCTACTTTAACCTTTCTCCTTCTGAACTGTGAAAACCTTACCAACTGTGTGTCAAAGGAACAAATCCCACAAGGGAAGAGAGCTGGTGCCACCACGTGATTACTGTTTTTCACACAAACTCTCAGATAAGTCGTGGAGAGAGGCCAACTACAGAACTCACAGCACTGATCTTCATTTCACTGATACGCTTTTATACAAATTGTGTGAAAAAAAGAACCTCTCCTTGGTAAATGTAGCTATTGTTACTTTGAATCTCAAATTTGTTCTTTTTAATTTAAAATTAATCATACAGTAACTTCTGGTGAGCCATATCTCCTCTCTATAAAAACAAAAAATGTAACACGAGTTTGTCATTAGTTGCATCAAATAGATAAAACCCCACCCTTAACAAGCCTTGGCTGGGTGAAATGGCATTTACTGGCTTTGCTGACTGTCAGTCCCATTTGGCTAATTTACACAAACTGCTGTCATGTGGAAGTGTCTCAGATCGTTGTATGTTGATAGATATGACCTGGCCCACTAATATTCCTATCATGTGCATGCCTTGCATGAATTAATTGCCCTGATGTTGTCTGCTCCCATTTTAGTTAATGGCACTGCCTCTGCCTTCTGTGTGCTTGCTGCTAAACCATCCCAGGCTGCTGTAGTGCCCACAGCTATGCCCGTTCGTGAAACCAATCCCTGGGCTCATGCTCCTGCTGCTAATACTGGAGCTGCAGCCATGGTCGCTGGTAAGATTGGAAGTAGGTCCCAGTGCATTGCTATGAGAACTTGGATCAAAAGCCTAATTGAGCCCTTGAGACAATTGTCAATGCCACTTAATGGCAAGTGGAAGGAACAGTAACAAAAGCCGGAAGTAGTAGCCTTTGCAGGAGTGGATGGAGGGAAGCGATGAACTCACAGGTGCTGGGTCTATGAGCTGGATTCATTCTTACTTTGGCAGCATTTTAAAAAAATCCAGTGCTTACGAAGGAAATAATGAAATAGTGTGTGTTTGGGAATGAAGGGGAAACAATCTGTGTGTACCCAAAGCTGTTTCTTTTGGGTTCTTTCCGCTAACGTACATAAGGAGAGTTAAGTTGGTTGCTTAAAGGCTTTAGAGGTTCATTGCTTCTCTTTAGTCTGTTCCTCCAGTCCTTGTCTGTAGTTAAATACAATGTGAGGTGGTACTTTAAATGGCTCTCACCCATGTGGACACGTGCTAGAAGGCTATAGTCAAGCAGAATTTTCTTGGTGTAAGCACAACTTGAAAAGAAAAGCTTTGCTAATGAAATGTTAAGTTCTACTTGGCGTGTAAGACTACCAGACCCATTTTCATTGTCTTTCCCCAGAAGGGAGAACCCATAAACTCTTATCTCGAACAATTCCCACTGCAAAAACAACAACAAACTGATCTTTAGATGCAGTTTAACTAGATCAGGCTGACTGAAGACTACTGAGCAGTAATGGTTTTCCACTTCTCCAAAACACCAGATAACATAAATGGTTGCTTTTCTCATCACACTGGAAACTTGGCAAGGCCCTATGGGAGGGAAAGAAAGTTTGAACTGTAGGGTGAAGGAAAACCAGAATACAGCTGGTGGGAGATAGTTTTGAAACTGTAGGAGGATTGGAAATTATGATGTTTTTTAATTTATTTTTTTAATTATTTTTTTTTAATCATAGAAGAGACATGAGTTAAAATCAGAGCTGGTTTTACAGAATTAAAGTCTAAAAAGCTATGTGTTGAACATTGCAAAAGAATTTGAGAGGTTAACAGCCTGAGTTGTACCTGAAAAGAGTAAGGGGAGCATGAGTGGAGATGCAGGAAGAATATAAAGGAGTCATAGTAAGTACAGTTAACATTTAATATAGTAATTTGATTAGATGTATTGCCTTAAATGTTGATGTTTATGATACTGAGTGCTCACACTTCAGTGTGTATGGGGCAGATAAATGAATGTTGTCTTGAACTTCCAGTGCCATTACATTACTGTCCTTTTGAGGGTAAAACCTTAATTTAGGAAACAGAGCAGAAGAGTCTCAAAAACAGTTTCTTACTAGCTTTGTGTTCTAACAGTCCTCAAGTCCTGAGCTGTATGTTCAAAATCTGATGCTTCCCAGTTAGAGGAATTGGTGGTTATGGACTAGGTCATTTGCACTAAGTCATGAGTGCAGGCAGCAGCTCTCCTGCCTAGCCTAAAGTTTCAGCTATCTGCCATGAAGCAAAATAACTGATTCTGCATTTTAGGGAAGGAGCTCTTCTCTAGCCCTTATTGACCAATGTCTTTCTATAACAGAAGAGTACAGTGGATGCACAAAGATGCTTCCAGTGTTGGTAGCAGTCTTTCAGCCTTGGAGGGAGGAAGGTGGCCTATCTGTTCTTGTGTACATCCTCCAGCCTTTCTAACTGATAAAAAAGGGTGAGGAGTGGAAATATTAAGTGACTTTCTCCATGCTTTCCTTCCCAGGCACTGAATGGAGCAGCACCTCCTCAGGTGCGGCCTCACCGAGTCTCTTACAAGGAAATCACAGACGTACTCCCTCAGAGGCAGACCGCTGGTTGGAAGAGGTCTCAAAGACTGTCAGAGCCCAACAGCAGCCAGCCCCAACCCCAAAGAGTCTCAAAAACAGTTTCTTACTAGCTTTGTGTTCTAACAGTCCTCGAGTCCTGAGCTGTATGTTCAAAATCTGATGCTTCCCAGTTAGAGGAATTGGTGGTTATGGACTAGGTCATTTGCACTAAGTCATGAGTGCAGGCAGCAGCTCTCCTGCCTAGCCTAAAGTTTCAGCTATCTGCCATGAAGCAAAATAACTGATTCTGCATTTTAGGGAAGGAGCTCTTCTCTAGCCCTTATTGACCAATGTCTTTCTATAACAGAAGAGTACAGTGGATGCACAAAGATGCTTCCAGTGTTGGTAGCAGTCTTTCAGCCTTGGAGGGAGGAAGGTGGCCTATCTGTTCTTGTGTACATCCTCCAGCCTTTCTAACTGATAAAAAAGGGTGAGGAGTGGAAATATTAAGTGACTTTCTCCATGCTTTCCTTCCCAGGCACTGAATGGAGCAGCACCTCCTCAGGTGCGGCCTCACCGAGTCTCTTACAAGGAAATCACAGACGTACTCCCTCAGAGGCAGACCGCTGGTTGGAAGAGGTCTCAAAGACTGTCAGAGCCCAACAGCAGCCAGCCCCAACCCCAGCCCCAGCCCCACAGCCACAGCCACTACTCCAGCCTCCTGCAGCAGCTTCCCAGTCAGCACCCACCTTCCCCGTCAGCACCTTCATTGCTCCTCAGCCCGTGCCGGTGGGTGTGGTACCACCCATGCAGCCAGCATTCATTCCAGCTCAGCCCTATGCTGTACCCAATGGGATGACCTATCCAGCCCCAAGCGTACCTGTGGTTGGAATCACCCCTTCCCAGATGGTGGCCAATGTCTTTGGTACAGCGAGCCACGCTCCGGCAGCCCATCCGCACCAGTCGCCCAGCCTGGTCAAGCAGCAGAGCTTCCCCCAGTACGAAGGCAGCAGCGCTGCAGGCAGCCCCTTCTTCAGCCCCCCCGCCCAGCACAACGGCTCGGCAGCCTTCAACGGGATGGAGGGGGGCAAATGGGCAGCAGAGGACAAGCAGGGGCAGCCCCCTGCCGCCCCGCAGGTCGACCCCTTTGAAGCACAGTGGGCAGCCCTGGAGAGCAAGGCGAAGCAGCGCACTAATCCCTCCCCAACTAACCCCTTCTCAAGCGATTTACAGAAGACATTTGAGATTGAACTTTAAGCAGTACTATTGCGGGGGGGGGGAGGGTGGATAAATTGTACATTAGGGTAGAGGGATAAAGGGAGCAGAGGGGACTGTTTCTGATCAGTTTGCTTTGATAATCCCAAAAGTCCCTTCAAACTAAAATGGGTTAGAAAGAGGGAGCAATTACGAGGAGGATATAAGCATACAGAGAATTTTATGTGCAGTTCTTAAAAGGAATTCTGGAGCCACCCCAGTCTGCATTCCCTCCTTACTTGGAAAGCTGGAAGTCAAAAGAGAGTAAAGAAAGGCACCCAGTCCCAAAGCCTGTTCTGCAGAAACACCAATTATCTCACAGAAAGGAAGGCAGATTTTGTACTTACATCCTTCTGATGCCCTTCGAGTCCTGGACATTCCCACTCTGGGGAACAAAAAGGGTGGGGTGGGGGGTGGATATGGGTGGAAGATTGTCACCTACTTAGCAAAAGCTAGGTTTGTGGGAAAAGTTGAGCTTCCATTTTGAGTAACAAAGTGAATATTATATGTAAAGAATAAAGTAAAGCCAAAATCTTTATTTTTATGCATTTAGAATATTTTAAATAGTCGGATATTAAAAGCTGTATGAGTTGTAAGTAATCTTGCCAAAGGTTAAAAAAAAAAAGGGGGGGTTTGGATGTAAGAAATTGTACATAAGATTGATTTATCTCTGATTCTTATTGTAAGTAATATTGGGGGGGTGGAAAAAGGGGCTCTAGCTTGTTCTTGTATCTGTTCATTGTAAGTAGCATATTGCAACAACAATCACAACCAGTATGTCATTATAATGTAGTTTTAAATAAAGAAAATCAAAGAACAGTATTGTCATGGTTTGAAAACCATGGGGAAAATTTACTGGTTTTTATTGGAATCAAGCTACATATTATATATAGTATGTTTTTTTTCCTTTCATGTATTGCTGCAGTTTCTTTATCCTAATCAATTGGTTCTAACACTACTGTGACAATTTACTGTAATCATATCTACATCCAGGGGCTACCTGGGAAACCATTTTATGTTTGTCTGTCAGTAGATCTTAGACATTTTTTAACTTTGGTTTTATTTTTTTCCCACTGATTTGTGAAACCTTGTGGATGAGGCTGCAGCTGGTCCAGGTTCTGCCTCTGGTGACTTGTGAAAAACATCTCATTTTAACTTTACTTTTAAACTTTGGCCTTACAAGCAAATGTAAGTTATATATATTTGTACTGATGATTTATAATCTGCTTTAACAGAAATAAATGTTGGTGGTAGAAGCACTGTCTGTGGAAGCTTTACTTCCTACCCTCATTCAGTTTTCAGCATTTGCCCTTTTGGGTATCCTTTCTGTTACTAGGTGAGTGTAGATGAGCCCTGCTTGCCAACCTGGAAGCTTAATCATGGTATCTTAATACCTTTCATATGGTATGCCATGTTAGGTTACCTTCAACTTTAAGACTGAACTTGCAAATAAACTTCTGACCCATAACTATTTAAATTTCTAAAGTGGAGGGCTTTGCTGAAAACAGCTTCTGGGTTTGCATCACCTTATTTTCTGACACTGAGTACTTAGATGGAGACTGTTCTTACATGTGCTGTGTCAGTTTAGCCACAAGGGAAAGTCAGACTTTTATAGCCTGAAGGAGAAGAAATCCTTCCTGTGTTTGGCCCTAGCATTTGAGTTTGCCCGCAGTTTTCTTTTCCAGGCAAGTACAGTCAGTCTCACAGTCTCACAGTCTAGAAAACTGGGACTTTTTTATTTACAGCTTCTTAGCTGTTTTCAGTATACAATGAATAGCAAGGACCAACACTCCCTATGGCATTTGAGGTGGCAGCAGTGCTTTTTTCAGCTTTCAGAAAGCAAGCAAACATTTGTAGACATTTTTAATAGAAAAGAAAGCAAGTTATAGCTTATTCTATTAGTTCCAGATCTTTCACAGTAGTGCCCCAAGATCAGCTGAAAATAGCCCAGAATAGCTACACCCTTCCCCTGTTCTGGAGATGAGAGCAAAGGAGGTAAGACTGTCCTGCAATCCATTGTTTAGGGAAGAAAAGGAACATCTTGATTCCCAAATCAGAAAAGTAAACATTCAGCTGGGCAGTGTAGTGGTACCACATAGAGGGAAAAGCTCAGCTTGCCAAATACAAGAAATGTAAAAAGACCCTTTAGTTAACCATTACAGTGCTGGCATTTAGTTAAAGCAGTGAACTGCTTGCCCTCCACTACCAATCTTACTACCATGGTTGTGCTGCTAAAGGAGGTCAGAGTAAACACTCCCTAAACCAAAGCACCATCAATGTTAAAGTCCTGCCCATAAGCTGACAGGTGGCTGTTACAGCCCTTATGAGTCTTAAGAAAGAACTCCCTGGCCACATCTTGTAAAACCATCTTAAATTAAAGCTGACTACACTGAATATTTAAACATGCTAAAGACAGAGCCTCTGACATAGTAGAAAGTGATTATTGTAGACTCTGACTGCTTGTTCTAGAACAAAAGGGTCTGATACCACCACAACCAACTTCTAATTGTGCTCCTGAGCAGATCCACAGACCCTGACTACCACAAGCCTGCCACATGTGAACTGAGAGGGCTTCAGTAAGGCTGGAATTTATGTAATTTGTGATTAGTCCCAGGCTGCAAAAGGCAAAATCATACCCCATACTAAAATACTAAAGATAACCTATACACACACAGCCAAAGGCTGAGATGTTAAATGACCGGTTATGTACAACCACAAGTAAAAGTTCTCAGGACCATATTAATAATACCTGCTTAAAACTTTACTCTGTAAAGCCTACCATGAATTGCAGCAGAGAACATTTTTTCCTACTAATCAAATGAAGGGGTTTTTAACTGCAAAACAAGTATTTTTGTCTTTTTTTAGCAAGCAGTATCTATCAGCCCATAAAAAGACCCACCCCCAACTAGCTTTGCAGCTGTCACCTCTCACTCCTTTCCTGGACTGTTGCTAGACTTTCAGTTTGTTCACACCTTAAAGCAGTGTGTCTAATCCTGAAGCCATACTTGTGCTAGACAGCATGCAACCATTAGGTTAGTAAGTCTTATTTTTAGATGCAGCTGAATTGATTTACTGGATTTAGTGTCCAAACCAGCTTTAGGCTGTCAAGCCTGGGGATTTACCCCTATCTATTACTGCTGCCCTGAGTACCAAGTCTGGACTGAAGGAGAGGAGAGTGATATGAGCACAGTCCTGAATTAGCTGCCTACCTTATAAGCCTTAAAGTAATAAAAGTCGGAGAAGACGAAGAAGGGAAAAAAAAAAAGCCCATCCTCCATACCTCCCAACCAAAACATCAACACTACATTCCAGTCTACTAGTGTATAGCTACATCTGTGTAAATAATAAATGGGTGATGGTGCTAATTAATACAATTAATGCATCTAAGTCTCAGCAGAGAGTTTGGAATGAGGAAGAGGGTGACTTTTACGGCTGATGCTAGAGTAAAACAACACTATGGCAGCTATAAAAAATGCTTTGGCTCAGAAATAGTTCCATTTTGAGATGCTGAAGACACCCAAGGGCCTTTCACTGGTTTAAGAACTCATATAACCTCACCTCTCCACAAATGCCCCTTAATGCCTGAGACATTCTTTCTTCAGAGCCTCACATACATGCTCACTGCCACTCTTGGTTTTGAAATGAAGGAGACGTTTCAGCTGTAGCTGCTCTGCCTCTGGCAGCCCTCACTTGTCAGCCCACAGCAGCCACAGGCCACATGCAGAGCCAGGCTCTCCTGGACTCAGAGCAGGTCACTGGAAAGTTTACTCTGGCAAGTCAAATGCCCCGAAGCATATTTCTATGTGTATATTATTCACCTCCCCAAGCTCAAAATCAACACAGCGCTACTACCAACCCCAGCTTTTCAATAAATTGAACAGCACAGTTCTGGCCCAGAAAAAAAAACCCAGAATCTACTGAGCCTTCCTAAAGCAAGTGGTACATAAACTGCAGCACCTCAGAACAGATAACAGTGTTGGTATATTCATCTAAATTATCCCTAACGCTGAGGAAAGGCTGAAAGTATTTCATGTTTTCCAAAGCTTTCTGTGAAGCATTGCTACAGCATGTCACTCCAAAGCTGATTGCAGTCAAGTAGAAACCAAACTGACCCAACTAGAAATTTGTCTGTCATCTACAGGAATGAAACAGCTACAGTAACGTGACACTACAGCTGCATCTCTCCAGCTAGTCATCTCACAAGACCAGAACACTATTTTTATATGCCACGCTGTTTTTCCTTCACATTTAGATGGAAAGTGCTCCCCAGGATTAAAAATACTCATTGCTTTGTGGTGCTTTGGTTAAAACAGTTCAGGCCCATCTTCAAACACCTCAGAGGTATTTTTTTTTTTTTTAAGAGCACTTCTTTCTTGCATTTATAAGAAAAATTAATCTCTACCATGCTGGTTATGTACAGTTTCTAAAGTCACAGCATCCCTGTGTCAGCTTGTTCTGTGAATGGCAGCAACTACCCTTAAGCGAAGAGATGGATTAGGTACAGCAAGGGGTTCAGGGGGGGGAAAACAAGTTTGCAATAAACTTGAGGGTGGTGGGTCTCCCACCTTCGAACAGTTACACCCGCTACCTCCTGTTCAATTCATCCTTTTGAGCTTTCCAGCAGGGCAAAGCTCCCAGTAAACTGTTTCACACAGTAAAAGGACGGAGTTCAGCCTTCCAGTCTTGCCATCAGTCACCTGTCCTTTGGCGTGGCCCTGGGTGTCCCTCACCCCCGGTGGCCAGCAGGGCCAGCCCGTGGCTGGTAGCGAGAGCAGCTGGCACAGCAGAAGCTGGAGTAGTACTCGTTGCCACAGAGCTGGGCCTGCAGGATCAGGTCACAGTTGGCCAGGTGTGGCTGGTCCACACACTCTCTGCTCAGGTCCACAACGTGATTCGCGGTAGCTGCAGCCAAGCAAAAGGTGAAGCAGCTGTAAATGCACTGCCAGGGCTTAGCCTCAGGTTCAGTTTCCCTCCCAAAAGGCACAGCAGCTTCCTGCTTTCTCCACCCTGCTGGTTTTAAGGGGATTATTCTAAATTTAGCCCCAAATCAAAGATGACAGAGAATCTGACACCTGTGGTAAGATACAGGAGGAGACTGTAGCTCCTGAGGAGACATCACTCTACACACTGTGTAAAGCCAGCTGGATGGTGTTCAGAGTCCAAACACAAATCTTGGCACCAACTATTTGATCAACGAACCATGTCATTTTGGCCTCAGGATGTTAATTAGGCTTCCAGCACCCTGACGTGGGGGGGCAGGTAGGGGAGTGGGGAGCATTTCCACCTGCTTTGCTGCCCAAGGAAAGCAGGATTCCTCAGGTAACACCACTCAGGGGCTCCTGCTGCTCCCCA